TCCGCTTGTAACAATTTTGTAATTGACTGGCATCGTTTGAAGAAACTCAAACCTGTTTTTCAGCAATCGTCCGTAGATTTCTTCGAGCTCGCCCAAAGAGGCTCGAAGTTTGAATATGTTGAATGCTATGTCCTCAGCGCACAACTGTTCACTACGAGTCAACAAATGTTGAAAATTTATTTCATCCGCCGAAAAACCACTCATCAGTCGATCCGGACAGCGTGAACTGCAGGATTTCACAGAACTTAGAATAGCCACAACTACCCCGTACTACCGCTATGGAAGCACTGTTGATTTGAAAGCCACCTCCATGCCCCTTCCCATACATCAGTTAACGCGATGACACATTGAGGTGTTGAAGGAACTTCCACCAAAACGGTACTAACCCATTGTAAAAAGTATAGTTAAACGATAAACCCAACTACAGCGGCCATAAGCTCAGATCAAAAAAGACGTGCCTCACAGAGCTCCTGACATCAGATCTCCCTGCACCATTCTTTGGTTCTGCGCAAAACGCCCTCGCTTTTAAGATGTTTAGAAAAAGCGTGCACGCATCGAGGAAACCCGAAATTCACGCACATCGAATTCCGTGACAATTCTCGCGCTCAAATCCAAGCGAGCTCATCGCAGTCAAGCTTTTCACCCAAGCAGCGTAAATCATACACGCAGCTCCTCTCCCATCAGAGCAACGGTATCGTCTAAATGCAGAAAGACGTTAAACGGTTTCGAAAAACTTCCAGAAAATATTCACGGGACGGTGCACGCCATCACAGTGGATGAGGCAACAATGACTGCTGCGAGGAAACGACTCAGCTCACAAAATTTTATTGCAACAGAAAATCAATCATACGAAGAATATCACACGCAAAATTAGAACTGCAACAATAACAAAATTTGAAAGATGCAAGCTAAAAACCATTCCTTTCTGAACAAATCCGAAAAGGAAACTTTCGAACAAACCGTCCCATAAAAGGAATTCCTGACAAAGTGGACATCTCATCAGCGATTGAAAACTACTGCCAAAAGTGTCCATGACGGAG